AATGCACGTGCTTGCCTAAATATCATGTTTAATGGGTAAGAGAGACTAAGAACAAATAGGAATGGGATTGAATTGATAATTGGATAGAATGACAATCTCACTAGATATCCTGGGAGATGATGGACGGACCAAGTCAGGGAACCCTACCGGAAATGTTCTCTCATACCAGACGGGGTATGGAGACTTTCAATGTTTTGACACTCATACCGGACGGAGTATGGGGACGGCCCACTTCACCCTCATACTGGATGAGGTATTGAGCTATTATTTTGGCGCCCATACCAGATGGGGTATGGGACGGCCCTGGAATTAAGTTGTTAAAGTGAATGGTTCATTTGTAGCGGAAACCCCTATGGATCCCCATGAATACAGGTAGGTTGATAAAATAGGGTAATTATTGTTTGATGATTGAAATATAAAAGTATGACATGTGCTATGTTACAGAGTGTGTACGAATTCATGATATCTTTGATGTTATTGTTTCTATGGATCGTTTTCATAAATCTCAACGAGGTAAGTGGACAGTAAATGGTTTTATTATTGATAAATGAATTTATTAAAAATTGTACTCCATTGGTTGTTTTTGTTTTTCTACCAACCTTTACTTCTGTGACAGTGATATAGTGTGACGTCTTTACTGGGCTAGTGTAGCTCATTCCTTACTTAATCATTTCATATCAGGAGGACTTGGTTTCCGAGCTCATTCCGCAGGAAGACGGCGAGTAGATGCCTAGAAATCTTATAGTTTTCTTTATAGTATCTCATTTCTAGTATTTCCTTTAGTTAACTTATTCTTTGATATTGTTAGTACGTTTGGTTATTGTGTAAGGAATATTAATCAAACTTTTTATTTTGCTTCCGCACCCAGAATTTTTATATACATTTCCTTTCTAATTTCCGGGGTCGTTACACACCCTCATACTGGACGGGGTATCGAGGCGATATAATATTTGGTGCCCATAACCAAACGAGATATGTGGTCGGTCAATTGTAAAATTGAATATTGGGTTCACAAATAGGGGAGACATCCTTATAGACCCCCAAGGGTACTAGTAAGCAGGTAAGAAAAGAAAGTTATTGTCTCTTATTCTCCTATACGTGAAAGTGAAAAGTATGGATATAGGTATTCATAGGTTGTTTTTAAAAAACTCGTTATAGTTAATATTAAACAAACGTCTTCAAATTTAAAGGTATTTAAATAAAGTAAGGGGCTACATTTGTTATTTTTCTAATTTTTATCAATCTTCAGTTTCCGTATTTGTGATTAGTGTGATAATTCTTACTAGAGTAGTGTAACTTACCCTTTCATTAACCATTTCAGATCAAGAGGATTAGAATCTAGATCTCGATCTGTAAGAAAGTTGTGATTAGTTCATTACCCGGACTCCCTTCAAATACTAATGAAGGTTGTCTTAGGGTACTTTAGTATTCGTTCTTCTTTTCATTTCTTTAATTACAGTTTGTCTTTCTGAAGAGATATTCTCATAAACCTATTGGGCATTCTAAATTATGTATAATGAATGTAAACCATAACTCTATTAATCGCTTCCACATTTAATTTTATGAATTCATTTCCCTTTAAGGTTTCGGAATTTTACACATACTATCCACTCAATTTTTTTTCTTTTAATAGTATATGCAAATTTCTTTTATAATGTATTTTTTCTTTCAATAACATAAAAACTTATCTTTTATTATATTTTTAAGATATTATTTACTTTTTGTATGAGAGTTATTTTTAACTATTTCTATTTTTACCAACAAGTTTAAAATATTATATAAATTGATAATTTACTTTTTATGCTAAAATAAGAAAACAAATTCACATTATTGACCAAACATTATAACAATAATTTAATTTTAAAAAAATAATAGTAATCGCTTGTATTAATTAAGAAACCAAACAGTAATGTCCGGAATTAACATATCTCATACATAAAAATGTTGATATAGACGAATAACTTTTGCTATCTCATGAGCTACTACATTACATTGTCGTTTGACCTACTTAATCGAAACATTTGCTCTCTGTTGTAATAACGCACGATAATCAACAATAATGAAGTCGAATTCAGAGTGATCATCCTTCCCAGTTGTCAACACTCTGAACATCAACCTCCATAATTCTTGGTCTCTGAAAATTCTCCTCTATATACTGCAAAGTCCGGCAACACCTCAACAATTTAGTCAAATATGGTGATCCATATCTTATAATCCGATCATAAAATATAGACAATACATTACCTAAAGAATCACGTATAACTGTTCTAAAACTACCCTCAAAATCCAAACCCAAAATAGTTCCATCAATGGTGTAACAATGATCTAATTTGTCCCACTTGGTATGTCCAAATTTTTTTATAGTTATATGATTATAAATCATATTAAAAGATTAATAGTGTAATAAATTTCTAATATACAAAATTCATAAAATTAATAGTGTAATAAATTTCTAATGCACAAAATTCATATTAAATTTTTTGTCCATATTTAAATCAATAACATTTAACATATAAATAAATTCTAATAATGTTGTTTAATTATACAAAGCGGACCTACATCAAAAGAAAAATAACCAAAAAAAAAAAAATCATTTATAAGCTAACCTAAATAATGTGATAGAAATAGAATTGTATTTCACTCACTCCAATCTGCTAACCCTTCCAAGTAAATTATTCATTGTAATGGAAAATGCATCTTGAAATCTCTGGAATTGAGAATCTGAATCCCCATAAACCAGACCAGGCAAGAGCTCATACACAATATATCTCCTCATATCTTCTCTTTCCTTCAATGGCACATTCATCAGCCTCTTCACCACATTAACCTTCATCTTCCTCACATCATCTTGGTCTATTAACACTGAATATTTTTCATAATCCTCTGGTAGATGCCATGGATACTGATAATAAGCTGTGAATGGGTTAAACAGAACCGGAATACAACCCGAAATAAGCGAATCAAATACTGATTTTCTCGTTGCACTATCACCAGGAGGCTGTAAACAGAATTCTGATTCCATGAACAGAGTCATGACTGATCCAGGATGGTTGCACCCACCTGCTTTGCAGCTGAAAAGCCTACACCTTCCGTTAGTTTCTGCAGAACTGTTAGAACCATTGCACTGGTTAATCAGAATTGACCTTATGTTTTCTGGGTCATTAGGTCTTGCGCCTCCTGCAAAGCTAACAAGGGTTTTACGGTTCGATCTCATGATCTTTAGCTGCCATGAAATAACTTCATCATCTGAATGTGGGTGGAAGAAAGTTGGATGTGGGATTCCAATGTCATTGATCTCCCATGGATGCCGCTCGATCAAAAGCTTTATTGGGTTCTTCATTTCTTCAAGCTCTAGTAATCTTGTTCCCCATGAAGATAAATTGTTCCTCCTGAAATCCCATGTGATTTTACCCAGTACAAAAACATGATCTTTCCCCGAATTTTTCATCCATGGTTTTCTGGATTCAAGCCACTTCATCAACTCTAACGTTAGACTGTCTTTAACCTCGTTAGAAACGTTCTTGAAATGCCATCTTAAGATATCGAATCCGCCGTAATAAGGTACATAAAATAGCTTGGCTTGATTCTCGTCATAAACCCGGCATGGATGCTTCAAAACTCTCGCATGGAAAATTGGCTCCAGAGCATACTGGTGAGTGTGATACCACCCTTTTCCAAGCTCCTCAATTGGCTCCCCCAATGCATTGTTCTTGAAAAATCTGCAGAAATCTGTCCATATAATCATGTCGCTGCATTGACCCACCAAGTCCTTGTTGAACTTTGAAGGCAAATCGTATACATACACCCCCTTCCCATTACAGGAATTAGCTTCATTATAATTATTGTTCGACACAAATGATCGATGAACTTTCAGCTGTTCTTCAACCGATCTAATAGCAGTAGCTACATCATCATCATCATCATCTCCATCAACAATGCTGGTAGAAACTGTACTTGTTGAGTTATTATTGCTGCTTAGAGGAACATCAACCGGGATGTTAAATCCAGGCTGGGAGCCAGCAGAAAGGCAGTAAAGATTGTTGAGCTTTCTCGAGGAAAGACAGACATGAACGATTTTCCCAGAGATGATTGTGGTGGAGGAAGACCAGAGGAAGATGATGGCTAACAGGAAGATTGCAAAAGGAATTCTGTAAAGAATTTTGCACAAGATTGTATATAAACAACTATGGTGTTGATGATGAACTTCATAAGCTTCGTCCTTACTTTTGGATGGTAATCTAGGTTTTCTTTTGGACACAGAGATGGCCATTTTTTATGAGTATGTAGTTTGTCTTCCATGAAACTTTCTTAGCTCTGGTTTTATGGTAGAGGAAGGAGACTGTGCGATGCTGTTCTGATGAAACATGGCTGCACGTATCATAAAACACGCCTCTCTTTTGTCTGCACGTAGATATATATTATTGATTTATAAATCTACAAATGTCAACATATATCTCTGTATATGTAAATATATCTGTATATAAGGGAAGGAACGTAAATTGCTTTAAAATAATAAAACCATACAAATTAGACTCAAAACAATACTTTTTGAAAGGAAAAGCTATGGCATCATACTATGTTTATCTTAATTAATGTAAACGTTTTTAATTTAATTAATTTTTTATTTTAATGGTTCTTAAAAATTGAAGCTTAGTAAGTCAATAAAAATTGTTAAAATTTTTAACTTCAAACGTTCAAACGTTCATTAATAGTACAACTTAATTGGAGGATAATACATATTTGCTTTGTTTAAAAAAATTATTAGTATAAGACGTATATATCAGTAAATTTGCATCCTTATGTTATACAAAATAAATGCCTACTTCCAAAAGAATTGTTATGTATTGGTGATTGAAATCTTAAAAAGACATAAGTAAATTTTTCTTTTCTGTAGTATCCCAGGCAAATTATTTGATTGGAAGAATTGATCCGAATTTTTTTTTTTTTAATAATAATAATAATAATAAATTTTTATAATAAAAATTCATATATTTTGTATATTAATAATAATACAATTAATAATATAAAAACCTACTAAAAAAATTACAGGAAGTCACAAATCCTTTAACTTTAAATCCACCTTCTTATTAACTACGAACGTCAGAATTAAAATAAATACAATTTGATATCATCTAATTGCTGCATTAAGATTAACAATTATTATGGAATGAATAACAAAAAGCACGCCTCTCTGTCTGCACGTTGGGGCTTGGGTTGTGTACTGTGGGTAGATATATTGATTTATAAATCTGACAAATCTCCACTAACCTATATATGTATATGTACGTATTGATAAAGTTAGATAGATATATATATATATATATATATAGATAATAACTCAACTAATAAGAAAGAAAGACGTTCATCCCATGAATGTCAACAGGAAATCAGTGAAGAAAATGAAAGATGATTGACATGAGCGCATGATGACAAAGTCAACTCAAGAATATGGATACATGTCTAATGCGATTTCCGTCTAATTTCTACCATTCTTAAACCTAAAATATCTGGAAGAAAATTAATTAAAAGATGGAAAAGAAAATGTTGTTGTCAATTTTTCACCTTGTTAAAACTCAATTAGATAAACACATACAGATTTTGTAAAAATCAAAGGCTTACTTGCCTGAGCAAGTTTTCCTAATAATAAAACCTAACAGAGGAAACTACTCACTTTTCATTTGCCAAAGTTTTTAGTTTTAGTCACCAATGAAGGAGTACTAGTGTCCAGTAACGATAAGATTTTATTCTACATTTTAGCAGTATGCTAAGTTACAGATCATCCATGGCCTAATCCCGGCTCACGTTTATTTAGAATTCAAGTCCACATAACTCACAGTTTACAACATGCTATCTGTCCTGGCAGGCAGGCGTCGGAAGAAGTTGATGGGCACCGATGGCAACCTGTGACGAAATCTTGGGTGTCTCATTGAATAGAAGCCAGCCAAAGCTGCTATCACCTGGAATGGTGTAACAAACAAAACTATGGCAGCTATCAAGCAGAATATGACAAAGATGGCTGTAGCACGAGGGTCTCGCCAGCTTAATAGTGCCTGAAACCGCTCTCCCTGCGTTGCTATATCACCAACTACAGTCTGAATTCGACCTGCCACACTTCTCAATCTATCATATCTCATCCTCACTAGCTCCGGGCTCCGGCTAGTTGGGAATGTGTCAAACTCCTCATCAAGCTCATCAGGATGAACTGCTTCAGCTTGGGAAATCTTTGTATTCATGTGTGGAGGGTACCTAGGTCGATACCGGTAGTTCCATATCCCTATCAGAAACATGTAAAGGAAGATGGTGGGCAAAATCAATTCAGGAAGAAACACAAGCATGAGATACAGGACATGAACAAGCACTGTGGTAACAGGATTTTTCCACATGCAAATATCAGCAAACCATTTCCCAACAGCAAACAACCCTGAGAAAACTGTCATCAGTCGAAAGAAATTTGCCTTGCTTCGGCGCATACTCCAAAGGTGTGAATCAACATCGGACATATATTCAACCACCTCTTTGCGAAGTGGAGGCTCTGCTCGACCTAATCTTGCCGCTACAATGTTGACAGCTTGGTGGCGTAGCATGTCAAGCTGCATCACACTGAAAGGCCGGACATAGTGCATTTTCGGCAAAAGTGGCCGGGAGTATTGATAAAGCATGTTTACAAAAGATGTGCATGTAAATCTGATGGCCAAGTGTAACTCCCCCATTTTCTTAACTCCAGTAGGATGAAGAACCAGGAGAGGATAAGAATGCGTGTAGACACGGCCTGTTTCAAGTGTTGATATTCGAATTCGAACCTTGCCAATTTTTAGGTCCTTGTTTCCACTGGAACCTTTGTCCCCTAGCTGGCTGTTGTCAAATACCCCAGCGGTGAGAACTGTAGCTGGATCAAACACCTCCCAAGTGTATTGCTCATTGTATTTTGGACACAGGTTGTCCACAATTGTGCGGGTCCGGACCCATTTGTGGCCATACTTTGCCACGCAGTACGTGTCTGATGTACCCTTGCCATCTCTTGTCTTCATTGGATGCAGCCCTACCGCATTCAAGATGCCAAGTTCCAAGACTCCAATAGGTGGCCTCCATAGTTGTTTTGCTGTGGGGCGGAGGTCACTACTGTAATGAGTGGATTCATCAAGAACATGATATCCTCCATCAAGACAAACTCGAAGATGGATACGACTAGAAAATTTATCTTTCTTCAATTGATCAACATCCACAGCAACCGGCTTCTCCAGGCCATACCAACGAGAATGAATTATTCGATCATCAGCACGTTTTTCTACAGTGTTCAACGGAATGATGACTCTCCCTAGTATTTCATCTTTACCAGGACCTATTCGATCCTCGACTGAGAGAACAAGATGATCTTCGAAGGGCTCAGAAGCAACAAACAAGAGATCTTCATTCCATAGTGCATTCAGAGTTCGAGCCTGGCATATCTTTGTTTTCAAAACTTGGTTCCCTATCTGTGCTTTAACATACACGTCAGGAAACCGGTTTTTCTCGGTTGGAACCAAGTCTTGTGCCTCAACCACATTAACACGGACATACCACAATCTTGGAGCATGATAAACCTTTGAACGTATCACAGTGGATGTGGCTGGCCCACTATCAACAGGTGTAGCTGCATCAGAATGCCATGCATCAGGAAAAGCCTCATCTGCTTGGGTGCCAATCCAGACGGCTAGCATTAGCTCACCCTTTACTTTCTCTCCCTTCTTATCCTCGAGTCGATACCATTCTGGAGCAAGAGGACTATCTGGAGGAACACGTAGTGGAACCTCATTGATGTCAAACCTTACTATCCCTACAAAATCATCTTTGACCAAATCCTTATCCTTAATCACAACTTCAAGAACAGAAGCTTGCATCCGCTCTCTTGAAAAGGCAAACACCTGATTCCACTCTGGATTTTGCTTTTTCTCAAAGTGTTTTGTAATTCCTCTATAGTTTCCAATTCTTACCTCAACAAATGGATCAATACTCCCTGTAACATCCATGGCAGGAAGATCACGAGCTTTAACAACTCTCACATAAAGAAAGTGCATTCGCTCAACAAGATCATAGGTGCTTGCCATCTTGTCCCCACGAATGACACGACCACCAACAACTCTTCCCCCTCCAAGAAAAGGACTCGTCTCCTTGAGTGCAAAATCAGCAGGTTGTGAGGACATTGCAGAGTACATCCGAACAATCTTAGAGGTGGCGGTTCAGATTTCATCTCATCAGCCTGAAACTTTGTTACATAATGATGACCTGCTTGAGGAGATGTTGCATGCTGATTTGGATGATGGTTTGAATTGGGGAGATGATGAAAGACATGCCTTGTATCATGTCTTTCACTTTTTCCTGGAGCTGAAACTGTCTGGGCGTGTAAGCTGGCATCTTTACTTGCAACAGATTCACCAGCAGGAAGTGGAGTTGAAGACTTTATAGACTGGTCATCAGTAACATACACTTTCAAGCCAAGCTCTCCTCTTACATGTGAGAAAATCCCACGCTTCTCCAAAGGGTAGTGTAAGATGACAGCATCTGAATAAGGAACGAAAGAAGACCCAGAAAGGCAAACCTTGCCGAGGAAGGACCTGGTGTTGGTTGCTTTAATGTTATTATAAACATAGGCATCAAGGGACAGATAACGGAGGCTGGATGGATCGGAGATGTTGAAATAAAAGCTTTCGTTCCAGACGGGGTTTAGATCCTTTTCTTTGATGGTGGTTCGGAACTTCTGACCATCAAAATATAGCTCCACAAAGGCACTGGATGAGCCATGCCCATCTTTAGGCAAAAGATTGTGGGCACTGACCACATCTACCCCTAGCTTAAGATTGTTCATGATGATCTATAGACAAGAGGATCTCAGGAAAGAAACTTAAGAACACAACTGCAAAGGAAGAAAACTACAGATTAAGCAGCGGATTATTAGTGAAAATCTCGAACAGAATATCATGTCAAGTATTTAAGCATTGTGTAAAAATGGAACAAAATTAAGCCACTTCCCAACTAAATAACAGAAGAAAAGAAAACAATAAGAAACAAAAAAATTGGTTCCGATTTAGTAGCATTTCTTAATTAATAAACATGTTAGATGCAAAATAGATACTCCAATTTTTCATATAAAATAAATTGAAGGTTTCACATACAAGATTGTATTCCACTTGTGAGAGAAAAGGAAAATTAGTTGAAAAATATCGACGAATGAAACAGCAGACGTTGTTTAAAACTCATCAGAACCAATTCCATCATCCAACAAAGACAAAATTGAAGTCTTAGAAGTAGAAAAATACATGAAAAAGATGGTGCTCATAGTTATGAAGAGCAGAACAAGGAGAAAATAAACTAAACCAAATAACAGAGTGCAGAAGATCTGAATCAATCACCACTCATTATTTTATTTTGGTAACTGATTAAATATTGCTAAAAACCTTCTTTTATAGCGAAAAGAAAGCAAATCCACGAAATTAGAGAACTAATAATGCTGAGTTTTAAATTAGAAATGAAAAGGCAACGAGGTCAACCCATTTTACCTTAAGCATGTGCAGAACTTCTCTAGTAAAACAAAATATAAAAATATATATGAGCATATGACACTCAACCGTTTAGCTAAGATCCTTGATGTACGGTTCCACCACATGAGCTACAGTACTGGATATTCACAACAAACGCAAAGATCTATGCAGTTGCTTGTGCGAATCTGATAGATAAATGTAGCAAACCAGAAGTAGTTTAAGAAGGATTTGCCAAGAGCAGATGAAAACGGATACACAAGTTACAAAACTCAGTGCTCCAGGAGGCAGAAGGACGTGGAAAGAGTTTAAACGTTTAGTTTTATTAACTCAGTTTTCTCATGAACCAAGTATTTGAACAGAAACGGACAAAATCTTACACGTAACGTATGAGTGACCAAAAGGAAAGCAAAAAAGTTCGTCAAGCCTCTAGTGAAAAAGATGTTACGATGAACATGTTCTTAGCAGATATCAATGAAGTTTCTAGCTGAAAATCCACAGGTGATTATAAAATTTGGAGACAACAATCTCAATTCAACATCAAGCATTCTGGAGCTAGCTTGCAAATATTGTTTCCTTGAAAAAAGTCAAAAGTAAAAACTTACCTCTAATGTGGAGATTTCAGCCATTTTCAGAAGATGAACATCTCATCTTCAAGGAGACAGAAGGTGGAGGGCACTGGGCATTAAAACCAGAGAGAGGGAGAGGAATGGGAGGGCACGAGGATTGAGGGGGGAGAGATAAAAGAGAGAAAAGAACAAAGGAGGGAAGGGAAGAGATTTGTTTTTTATAAACGACGAAGCAACTGCCTACTGCAGACAGTATTAATAGCCGGTAGTGTTCCCTGTTTTGTTATACCAAAACAAACCACGTCTTTTTCATTTCTGATTTACTCTCTCTCTCTCTCTCTAATAATTAACTATAGAGTGATTTAAACAATTTTATAAACTATAATTATAAGTTTATTTTAAAAATATACCCAAAAAAATAAAACTTAAAATACACTAGTTACATTAGCTGATCCAACACTCCTCTTGTGTTTAGAAATTTCATAATTTTATATGTAATTTATTGAGATAAATTTGGAAAATCTCATTATTTATATATGTATTTTTAGAGTGCTTAACAAATATTTTATGACGTGAGAATTAATAAATAAATATATATTAAATTTTTTTAAGTTTTTACTGATTTTATTAATCTCCAAAATGGAGTCTTGCATTAATTTTCTTGTATAAATCTCCAAAAACAAACTCGGAGTGGAGACGAAACATTAACATTTTTTAAATGTTGTTGAATCTTGTATTTTTAGTCCAAAGTTCCTTTACAGTTTTGGAATGAATGAATAATTTGTGCATCATTCATCATTAATGAAATGTTTTCTCGTTTACTTAACAATAAGTCTCTATATGAATTATTTTACAAATATTTTTTGGAGCATTATGTCTCTGAATATTTGAATGTCTTATCTTTGTTTCCATTTCATGAAGATTAATTTCCTTTCCATCATTTAAATTTAAAAGTTGAAGTCTTGGATTTATTTCAATATTTTGTATTACCACTATCTTTAATTATTGTAAAAGTTACATTAAAAACTCACTCTCAGTCATAATTGATTTCTTTTGATTATTAAAAAATAAAGGATGAATAATCTGCTGATTTTCTCATTGATGAATAATGTAATGAAAAATATAAATAGCTGTACAAAAGAGCAAAAAGATAAAAACAGTCATAACAAAATGTACAACTAAAGATATCACTAATTCTAATTATAATCTTAATATTTCCCCTCAAGATGGAGAGTACATATTGATTGTACCCATCTTGCTCAGAAGATTATGAAACTGTGTAGAAGGAAGAGTCTTTGTCATTAAATCCGCCAACTGATTATGTGAGGAAATGTGCATGGTCCTCAGTGTTCCATCTTGAATTTTCTCCCTGATAAAGTGAGAGTCCAGTTCAATTTGTTTTGTTCGCTCATGATATACTGGATTGGTAGCTATATGCAGTGCAGCTTGATTATCACAATATAACAGTGTTGATCCTTGGTGTCTCACTTTCAGATCCCGTAACAGATTTAAGATCCATACTATTTCACATGAAGTATGGGCCATTGACCGATATTCTGCCTCTGCGGATGATCTAGACACAATCTGTTATTTCTTTGATTTCCACGAAATGAGGGATGATTCAAGAAAAATGCAGTAACCAGTCAAGGATCTCCTTGTGTCAAGACAAGTACCCCAATCAGCATCCGAGAAGGCTTTAGCTTGAATGACTGATGATGAAGGAAAGTGAAGACCTTGTCCAGGTGTTTTCTTGACATATTGTAAGATGTGTAGCGCAGCTTGAAGATGATTTGTCCGAGGAGCAGCCAAAAACTGACTTAACTTATTGACAGAGTAGCAAATATCAGGACGAGTGATAGTCAAATACAGTAATTTACCAATTAATCTCCTGTAACTTGTGACATCTTCAAGAATTTCTCCATCATCTTTTGACATTTTAAGATTGGGTTCCATAGGAATCGAAGAAGGTCTGCATCCCAAATATCATATCTCAGTTAACAAATCGATAGCATATTTTCTTTGACAGAGTGTGATACCATCATTGTTTCTTGCAACTTCCAATCCAAGAAAATATCTGAGAGGCCCTAGATCTTTCATTTTGAATTTCTGTCTCAAGGTGGATTTCAAATTATTGACGACTCCTTCATTATTGCTAGCTATCGCAATGTTGTCAACATATACCAGAAGAACCAAGAAAGTACCTTCTTGATTTTTAATGAATAGTGAATGATCGCATTATGACTGATGAAATCCTTCTTGACTCATAACGGTGGAGAACTTGTGGAACCATTATCGTGAAGCTTGTCTTAAACCGTAGATGGATTTATGCAATCGATAAATAATATGTTGTGGAAAAATCTCCCCCTCTCGAGGAGAATATCCTAGAAGAATGGAAATGTAAACTTCTTCGTCGAGATCTCCATGAAGAAAGACATTAGTAACATCAAGCTGAGTAAGACTCCAATTAAATATAGCAGCAAGAGACAACAAAATTTTCACAATAACCAATTTTGCAACAGGAGAAAAAGTTTCAATAAAGTCTATTCCAAACTGTTGTGTAAAACCTTTGGCAACAAAGCGTGCCTTGTGCCGTTCAATGGATCCATCAACCTTATATTTGATCTTGTACACCCATTTACAGTCAATTGATTTCTTGCCTGGCGGAAGAGAAACGATAGTCCAGGTATGATTGTTCTCTAAAGCACGTAATGCCATATTCATGGCATCTCGCCATACTGGTGTTCGGAGTGCCTCGGCAAAGGTTTCTGGCTCAGTGTGGGAAGAAAGAGCAAATATGTAATTAAGGTAATGAGGCTTGATTTTACTATAGGTGAGGAAGGAAGATAAGGGATGATGGATTTTGATGGTCGCAGTGTGGTAGCAGTGATAGTCAGACAAGTGGGACGGTGGTCTAGTGACACACTGAGGACGAGAAGTAGTAATGGGAAGAGTGGGGGGTAGTGGTGTAT